ACCAAAGCGCTTCAACTCATTCTATTAGAGTATGACATTGTGTATATTTGTCTAAAGTGCTCAAATTGCTCCTTAGTATAACATTATTGATAACCAAGTTGAGTCTAGTAATTTGATCTGTATCCTTTAAAAAAACCACCAAAAAGCTAAGAATTCATTGTAGTTCTAGGGGTTGTAGCTGTATGGCTCGTGTCATATGACTCATATACATACTAAAAAGAATTGTAACTATAATCAAAAGTTGAACTCAAACTCATGCTACTTAATCCAAGCATCATTTCATTACTACCCATGGATCTTCCATAATGTTGGTTCCATTCATCTGGTCTTTCATAACCACAAGAACCATAACTGGAACTATCCATTAATTGTATTTCTCTAAGACTTTGATGATATTACTCTTGACTAAGTGGCATTAAATTATGCATGTGGTATATATTTGACAAAACTACCATTAGCATCACCTTAATTGTAACATTATGTTCTATCATAGCCACCTCTATTATATTCATAACTAGAATCAGATCTTACACCACCATCACCATTACCATCATCAATAAAGTCTTCACTATTATCAATTTTACTACTACATATTTGTTTTCTAACCCAATTATCAACATTTATCTTCATTTGATTAGCAATATAGGGATCGGGTCTTGGAGGATTATCTGGTTCATCTAAGACCCTTGCATCTTTTTCAATATCTTCTAACCATGATATCATTGGATCTTCTTCATCATATATATCATCAAGATCAATTGGGTCGAAGTAACCTTCTGGGTGCCTTCTATCTCTAATAAGGTGTCTAACCCTCAATCTCATGATATAATGGACATATATTAACTTTTCCAAAGTGTCATAGGATAGACGATTCCTCTGCTTTGTATGAATGAGGTCAAAGGTATTTCAATTTCGTTTACAACCACTAAAAGAAGTTGTTAGTGATAATACCCTTTATTGTCATTTTACGAAGATATTGAGCATCTTTAACCATAAATTAACTATCATTCAGCTGAGAAAACAAAAAAAAATATTTTAATACAAATATAAAATGTATAATATTAAAAGTAAAATTAATTAATCGACAACTTAATAATTTAACATTAAAGGATAGAAAATCAAGAATATATTAAAATTTTAATTTGCTCAAGTTAGTTCTTGTTCTTAATTTGACAACCATAGGATTTGCAAATTCACTTAATGCCTCATGAAATAATTTTGCCTTAATTGAAATAACAAATATCAGTATCATGTGATTAGAATATATTCTTAATTTATTATACAATTTATCAACTTACATAATTATACTTTTACCTCTTATAAGCAAAGCCAGTTATGGTTTCATCTAGCTCCAGCCTTGTAATGACTTTTTTCAAAGATAATAATAAATCCTTATCTATAGCAAGATCATGATCACATTAAAAGACTGGATTTAAATAACATGCTAAAATTTAAGAAAGGAAAAATAAGTAACATTGTTAACTGGAATCTTAAATACTCATTTAACAATTAACATAAAATATTAGAAATTAATGATATAATTACATAAAGTAAAAAAGAAAAAGATACATGCTTTATGCAAATGGTAAATAAGCTATCTATTTCATATCTTGTTTATAATGTTCAAGATGTACTTATTTGAATTTAGAAATTTCTCTACAATCATCTTCTTCACTCTATGCACTGTCTCATATACAATTCTCATTATTGCTCTTTTTTCAACATCAACAATTGAAAGCATTTTTACAAGAAGTTCAATCAACAAAGCATTTCGTTGAGCTAATTTTCAGAAGTTGTTGTCATTGATAATTTTCTCAACTTCTTTTCCCCTTTTCGTTCTTCCTTGTAATAGTGATTTTTATTCATCTAAATTAATCATGTGTCTCAATGTTGCCTTCTGAGAATTCAGACCTTCAAGAGTAATATAATGAGTGGCAAAGCGAATTGGCCCTAGGCGTATTAACTTTGTTATTTGTAAAACTCCTCATCTAGCTAAGAGCAATTGAGTGATTATACAAAAAATTGATAATCGTTTTTTCCTTTTCAATGACTCTGGACACCATAGAAACTTTAGAGATATCTTCTAACATTAAATCAAGGCAATGGGATGCACATGGTGTACAATATAAGTGCTTCATTTTGTTCTTTTAACATTTTGCCCATTACTTTATAACTTCAATTGTCAGTCACAATTTAAACAACATTTTCTACACCAACTTCATCAACCATTATATTCATCAATTTAACCAAATATTGTGCATTATGTCGATCACTAGATGCATTAATGGATTTATGAAACATTGTTTATCCATTACAATGCACCACAAAATTGATGATCGACAATCTAGTTGGTCATGTCCAACCATCACATGTAATAGTGAGCACATATGTTTCAACTTTTTGAAAAAATGTTTTGAAATGATTTCTCATCTAAGAACCTCCTCATAATCTCATAAGGTGTACGGGTGTAGGCATCCGTATACATTTTCCTGTTTTTGCTATTTCATCCACTATGATTTTAAAATATGGAGAGGTTGTTGCATTTATAGGGATGTGGTTGTATAGAAATTATTTCTAATGATCATATTGAAATAAAAAATTGATAAATGTTAAAAAATTATCAATTTCCTTTTTTAATTAAATAAGAATCATAAAACTATGCAATCATAATCATTCATATAATCATATCACAAAATATATTAGTTTCTTTTATATAAATTTTATATCTAGTTTTCAATCCTTATGGGTATATCAAAAAATGTAACTAATTATTGTTTATTTTTAATTATGAAAATTACAAAAAAACATATTTGAATAATAAATGCTAAATGATCTATGAATATGAATCATATGATAGTTAAAACTATATTTGCTCCTTAGGGCTATGTCATAATAAATGCCAAATGATCTATGAATATGATAGATCAGCAATACATTAACACTATATCCAGTCCTTAGAGCTATATCATAACAAAATGTAATTAACTATTATTTATTTTTAATTTTGAAAATTATAAAAATTCAAAAAGATGTATTTAAATAATAAATGCGAAATGATCTATGGATGTGATAGATCAGCCATATGTTAACACTATATTCAATCCTTATGGGCAAATCACAATAAAAAATAAATAATTAATATTTGTTTTTAATTCTAAGAATTACAAAAAATTAAAAAAAAATCATATTTGAAGAATAAATATCAAATGATCTATGGATATTATAGATCAGACATATATTAACAATATATTCAATCCCTAAGGCTATATCATACCAAAATGTAATTAATTAATATTTATTTTTAATTCTGAAAATTACAAAAAATAAATAAATATCATATTTGAATAATAAATGCTAAATGATCTATGGATATGACAGATCAACAATATATTAACACTATATTCAGTCATCACAATAAATTAAATAATTAATATTTATTTTTTAATTCGGAAATTTAAAAAAAAAATCATACTTGAAGAATAAATGCCAAAAGATCTATGGATATGATAGATCAGCCATATATTAACACTATATTCAGTCCTTATGGACAAATCACAATAAAAAATAAATAATTCATATTTATTTTTTAATTCCAAAAATTACAAAAATAAATAAATATTACATAGAAAATTTTAAATCTTAAATGGATATGGTAAATCATCTATAGATTTCTAACATATTAAGTCCCTACATGCAAATGAATTTCATTTTTTTATTTTTTTTATTTTTTCCAATTTTCCTCATAAAAATCCATAGATCTATACATATAATAAAAAAAAAATTGTAATTTTTTACAGGGAAATGTAAATCAGCCAAGGTTAGAACACTTCCAAGCATTCAAAAAAGAAAGAAACAACAAATCAAAAAAGTTGAAAAACACATCTATTTTCGCAATATTTTCCAAAGCTTCAAAAATCTTCAACTTTGATGTATTTTTCTTGGGTTTTTTTTTTGTAGATCTAACATTCTAAGTAAGTTTTTCAAAGTTTTGGAGTGGTTTGGGGGGAGAGAAGGCTTTTTTTTGGAGTAAGAAGTCGTCTTTCCCCCATACTCTTTTTATTTTCCACCCATATCTTTTTAGTGGCATATCGGTCGATACACCCTCGTATCGGTAGTGTATCGCTCGATACGGCCCCAAAGCGCCCGATATAAGCGCGTATGAACACAATAAGCGTACAATATGCATAAAAAAATACGGTATGCACGATTTCTATGCATTTCCTATATCTTGATTTAAAAAATACGATATAATTCACCCCATATCGAGTGCATCATATTGAAAATTTGAACCTTGCATAGTATTATACGAGATATTTCATATTTCCAGTGCACGAAGGTAGTGTGTTTTGGGTAGACATGGGTAGAGTTCCTGTGGGCATGAGATCTAGAGTCGTAAAATACACCCTGAACCCAAGGTTATAAATATCGATCCAGGCCAATATGCCCTGTATTGGTGCTTTTATGTTTTATTTATTTTTTTCAAAACCAATTCAAAGGAATCGGTTTAAGTCCTCTGACCCATGACCTACACCCCCTGTTGGGGCATATCAGGAAGGCCCCAATACAATACGTATCAACCAATACCGACCAATACGTAATAATATTTTGAACCTTACCTGGATTTGCTGTCACCAAATCTGATCACAATCAGATCCAAGTAGGAGAGAAACATCTTGTTCGCAGGCTGCAGAAATTGGATTTCTAACATACGATTAAGTCTAATAAACACCCAATTGCGAGATGCCTGTGCTCGGAGTAATCCACCAAGGTTTTAAATATCTATACGCCCGATACGACGGTAGGGGCGTATTGGGCAGTATCTGTAGTTTTTTATTTTTATTTTTTCAAAACTGGTTCAGGGGGCCAGTTTAAGATTCCTTCACCCCCTGAACCGGTCAAAACTCCAATACATCCTCTGTAGGGGCATATCGGGGTGCTCCCGATACGATATGTATCGACCGATACGTGTCGGTTTTTTAAACCTTTTCTTACATGCTTTCTCCGCACCGAAGTTCATCTTTCATTCAAAATCTAGCAATGAGGGCAAATTACAATAGAAAATAAGGCTCTGACTCTGATCATTCGCTGATTTATAACATAGAACGAGGTTAGTCCGACTGTGAACCCACCCAATAAATTTCACCAGCCTGGCATAACAGAACCCCATCAAATCAGGTGCATTCTTCAACATGAAGAGTGTTACACATAACTGAGTACGATAATATGAATAAATTCCAGACGCATTAAAACTTGAAATCCTTCTTCTTTGACTTTCCCTCCTTTTCCTGCATTTTCCTCTTCCTCTTCTTCTCATTCTGCACAATTCCATCCTCATGTAAATGGCAAATTGTTGACCAACAAATAAAAAATTGGAGGGAAAAAACTGTGTAAGCAGCAAACCTCTGCAACCATGTCGCTGAAATCCTCCCGCTGGCTGCGCAGCTTCTCCTCCTCCCTTGCTTCCTCATACCTGCAATGAGGTCCGTATGTCAATAAAACCCAATACAGAGAATATTAGTGCTTAGAGTATCACTCTCCCATGTTATCCCTTACTTTGCAGCCAAAACATTGTCCAGAACTTCCAACTCTTCTGGTTGTAGAGTGACGTCCACTTTGTCTGATTTCTGGCCCCGTAGCAGATCAACCTGAATGTGAAATGTAATAAACCCAGTGAATAAAGGTAAATGCATTGAATGAAAAGGCAATGATAATCCAGTCCATGAGACCATGATGATGATCTTTGGTTCTTGAATAATCAAAGTTATGAAGATCAAAGTTTCCAAACGAAGTGGTTTCCTTCTGAACACTGTCCAAGCATACTTACCCTCTTCGCAGTTGTCTTGTCCTGGGTGCCAGAACCAATAACATACCTGTTCCAGGAAAAGTCAGATTGTTTATATCTACAGGCACTCGGGGTACTAACAACACAGGCTCTCTAGGGTCAGCATACATACGTGTGTGTTGTTCCAAGCAAGGTCCCTGGAGCAATCTTTTCTTCTTTCTCTTCAAGCACCTTTATATATATATATATATATATATAGAAATAAAAAAGGAAATTTCATCAATAATAAAACCTTGAAGTTGCTTAAAAAAAACAACATTGAAATCCAAGTAAATAATCTGATCTCTAGATGGATCCCATCATAAAATATGGTTAATCAAACCCCAAGTCAACTTGGTAATGTTGGGTTAGGCTCAAACAGGAAAATTTTCAATGATATTAATGTTTGACCTAAATCTAGTAAGAAGCAATCCACAGAACTCGAAATTCAGCTCTGCCACTAAGCCAAACCCTTAGGGCAAGTCAGAGAAGGATGCTTCAACCTTCCTCAGGCAACTCAAGTTGGTTTGGATCGGGTTTGTTGAGTTGGTCCCAAGACGCAACCCAAGTTGCACCCATGTAAACCTAACAACAGCTGTAAATGATGTATTTACCTGGTACAGAGGCTTCTCAGGCTCCTTCCTCTGTTGCTTTCGGAGGTCAATAACATCAGGTGTCTCCACCCCAGTTGGAGTACTGAACCAAAAAAAAAAAAAAAAAAGATGAAAATAATACAATAACAAGTAGTATAATACAATAGAATGGCTTAAGGCAAGGCATAATACCTAGAAAGACTATCTACAGACTGAATGCCAGCCTCCAATTCCTCTTCCTCCATTTGTTCTTCTTCCTCCTCCTCTTCTTCTTCCTCTTCTTCCTCCAAATCACCCCAGTGCTTACTCCGATCAACAGGTTCTTCCTGTCCACATACCAAACATTGTTCTTTTATTCCATTCATCAACTCCAAATCGATGAACATTTGAATCATTATCTAGATTAACATGAATTTGATTAAAATCTTTTCAAATGTCTCACAAGTAACCTGTCCGGGGTCAAGAAAAAGGTTGCAATAAATTACCTCATAATTAGGCAGTTCTTGCTGTTGGACCCCAAAAACATCTCCATACAGAGGGCGTCCATACTAACAACAATGTTAACAGATCAAGTGAGATAATGAAGTAATGCTCCACAACAGCTTACTATAAAAACATTTTAAAAAATTACTGTAGAATATTTATGGGAAAAAAACTCACTTCATCAACAGGAGGTTTACCCCAACCACCAGGATGATAACCAAAGCTAGCTCCAGGAGGAATGGGAGCATTCAGTCCAGGGATTTTAAGATGTGGATAAGATGGTGGAGGACCATATCTCTGAATAGATAATCCATTAGTTTATACATAACAAAAGATGGGAAATTAAAAAAAAAAATATTATTGTGCAAAACATATTAGCTCAGTTAACCTGCATGTTGATAAGCCATGGAGGAGGAGCCCCTTCAGGCATACCAAGGGCCTCTTTAAGTTCCTGGGACAGCAGACCTGGCTTGAACTCCCTCAACTTCACCTGTACAAAAAACACAAGGTTGGTACATATTAGCAGAGACCTGGCTTAACACCAAAAGAAGATTTTGCTGCAAAACCATAGAAAAGGAGCAAAATTGCATGTAGCTCAAAAGGTTGAAACTAAATGTAGGAAATGGATCTGTCCCCCCCCNATGATATTCAATAAAATTATCGATATTTTCAGTCAAGAAAGAGCAAAGGAGAGTTGGTGATCTCTTTAACAAATCACCATTAAGGCGCTAAAGATAGGTTCCTCGAGAAAAGGGATAAACATGGGAAAACAAGAAGTTTTCCCCGTTAACCGACCTGTGATGAGATCCTATTCGCGGGCCCTTAACATGCTTCCTATCAAACTTATAGACCTAACGTCCTTTGTCTGGATTACATCCACTTTCTATGGTATCAAAGCAATGAAAGCTGCATTTGCACCTGAGTTAACTTTGCCTCTCTCATAGAATTCATCAAAAACTTCCATCAGATCACCCCCAATTATCTCCCAACAATCTTGACAGAATGCCGTCGTAAAACCATTAGGCCCCAGGGCTTTAGGTCTCAACACTACATTTTTCACTTCCTTAACCTCAAACTTTTTTTCCAAGGATTTCATCAAATCTCTGTTTCCAGACCTCCATTCCAGGCCCTCTAAATCTTTTCTTGATCTCCTCGGGCACTCATAGAGTGCCTTGAAATGGTTCACAAAGGCTTGAGCTATGTCCTCATCTCTTGTCAATACTTGCCCACTCTATTCCAATTTAAGCACTGAATTTTTCCTTTTTTCTCCCATTTGCCAACATATGGAAAAACTGGTATTGCCATCCCCTTCCTTGATCCATTGACATCTAGATTTTTGTCCCCAAGTAATCTCTTTTTTTCTTAGAATCTCTTCTAGGTCCTTGTTCAACCTCCATCTCTCTTCCTTATCTTCCGAACTCAAACTTTTCTCAATTGTTTGACTTCTCTCAATCCAAATATGATTTTGTCATTGATATAGATTGTTTATCATTACCTAGGATTCTCAATTGAATCAGAGGAAAGACACACAATAGAGTTTCAAGGATAGATGGTTTCATGGGTTCTGAGATTCTCCACCAAATGGACATTCCAGTCGAGATTTGAGAACAAAATCTCCCTTGTGAATTGTTTAAATCTCAGATGAGGGACCAATCCGCGAGAAAGTTTCTGGCATCAGCACAATGCTGGGGAAATCTCTTCTTACATTCAACATCCTATGATTTCTTTCTTTCCAGATGCACCAACAAATGACCGAAGGAACTAAGTGGCCTATAAAAGGTGTTGATCAAAAAATATAAAAAAGAAGTGGCCTATAAAAGGTTACCTTTAGACTAGAACCCAAATACTAGGAGGGCCATGATGAGGTAATGCCCCTGGTTGAATGAAGAATCACCTCACCAGAACCAAAAATGCAACAGAAAAATTTCTAAGGGGGAGAAACTGCAGGACAACTGACCAATAAGTGATACAAAGATTTTTTTTTGATAATTAAATAAGTGATACAAAGATTCTTCCATGTGAAGGCCCCTATGGTTCAGGTGATCCAAAGTCAACACCTTATCTAAGAAGACTAACCACATAAAAGCTTTAACGTTAAAAGGAACATGCTTTTCCCAAACACATTCAACTTCCATTGTTCCAACCAAATCTCATGTGAGGGCAATACATATTTTCTTTTGGAAGCAAAATTTTATCAATACATACCAGTTTCAAAGGTTTTTGCAAGGATAAAAGGAAGTACGTCTGACCTTGGACCTAACAAGAAGGTAAGGAAACACACAAATGCAGTCAGAAGACAATAGGAAGATGGCAATCAAAATGAATAAATAGATTGTTGATTTGGAGTCCGTGCCCCCCAGTGTGTGCATGTGTGTGTGTGTGTGTGTGTGGTGGTGGTGGTGGTGGTGGTGGGGCAACCTACATGGACTGATTTGGGCACATCTTATTTTTCCGATATCCCTAGTAGAAAGATAAGGCTGTTTGTAATGATAAAAGGAAAGTTTGTCTTTTCAAATATGTACTCTTTAAATAATAACTGGGAGTTTGCCCCTTTATCAGAAAAGGGATGTGCCTAAATTAATACCTAACATTTATCTGTATATCCAATTACATATAACCAATAATTAGCAATTAGCATGTAATATAATATCATAAATAAATCTGTAAGACCAAAAATTAAAAACAAGGCCACAAACAACCAATCAGGAGTTGCACCACAACATTATCTTTTGTATCATTCACATCAATAGATGCCCTTTGTATACAAGACAAACTAGTTTGACCTAGAGAAATGTCATAGAAGTAACATTGGCATCCATAGTGATTTACTCTTCTTTGCCCTAACATGGAGTGTAAACTAGTAGTAGTGTGGCCTGGAGGGATCCTAGAAAAATAACAAGAACATCCACAATGTTCCACCCTTCCTTGATGCCACCAACATTTGGATATAAATGGCTTTTACTCACAAATATCAGCAAACACTAACTTGCCCTTAAGGAAAGTCAAAGCATTTCTAACTGGATGATGGATAAATCACGTGGGTAAGGTGTCACAGAAACTGTATTCTATAATAAAAACTTAAGTTCCATCTCTAATTGAGTTAACATACTAATACCAAATTACAGAAGAATTAACTCTGAAGGTCATATGCTCAGCTCAATTATCAGAACAATGCCAATATAGAAACTATACCTCAAACTCTTTTCCTTCATGATAAAGATCACCATGAGTTGTCAGCTTTGGTTTTGTCTGATATTTAAAGAATGCATCATGGAGAACCTGCATACAGAAACTAGGCACTTAAATAAAAAGGAATTCAAATAGGTATTCCTATTATAGGTCACCAACAGACGAACTTTGATGAAGAAACAGAGATTTTGAGATGACTAACATGCCAGGGAGGGAAGAACCATATGGAAGGAAACAAAAGGTTAGGACAAGCAAACCTGATAATCAATGTCCATCTTTCCCATCTTTGGTTGCATACGTTCACGTTGCTTCTGTTTTAACTTTTTACTGTCCTCTTTTTCAATGTATGCCTGTAATAGATGCCATAAAACCACGAAATAGGTTGCAAAATTACATCAAGATGCAAGTTTGTGTACCTTTTTGATCATTCAAGATGCAAGAAACATTTATTATTGGAAACAGTAACTTTCATTACTGAAAAAGATAAGTGTACAACTGTCAAGCACTCACTACAGGGAGTGCTGACCCAATAGACCCCACAATTAATTCACAGATTACAGCACAGCCCAAAACAGATTTTCCCTAAGCAGTTCCTTCCTTGGCCAACGTATCAGCTAGCTGATCTCTTGATCCACTTGAAGAGAGCCCCAACCTCCCTTACATAGCTGAAGATTTCCCTCATTTGCTGTCAAAAGCTCCAAGCCCCCAAACTTTCTTTTTGCAGCCATCCTAACAGCAACTTCGAGTCCCCTTCCACCTCCAGGTTGTGAAAACCTCATTACTTAGCCAGCCTCAAACCTTGAAGTAAGGCCATAATTTCAGCTCTTAGTGAATCTCCCACCCCTATAAGTCCAGAATACAACGCCACCAGTCTACCCTCCCCATCTCTGAATACTCCCCCCACTCGAGAAGGGCCCGAAGATGCAAGAAACTTTGAACAAGGCTCACTTCAAAAATAGGTCACTATTTTCCTAAATATAAAGTAAAACACAAAATGTAAGCCCTTTCTATACAATGTGACACATAAATAGTTTTTTTTTTGATAAATTGTGATACATAAATAGTTTGAAACAGGCCAGAAGATGCAAGAAACTTTGAACAAGGCTCAATTCAAAAATAGGTCAAAATTTTCCTACATATAAACTAAAACACAAAATGTAAGCCCTTTCTATACAATGTGATACATAAATAGTTTTTTTTCTTTTTGATAAATTGTGATACATAAATAGTTTGAAATAAAATTTCTTTATTTTTTCCCTTTTTGGTGAGGCAACTGCATCACAATCAAAAACCTCCTATTTAATATAAAAGCTTTTTTTATGGCAATCACACTAACACTTACAGAATTGAAACTAGAAATAGAATCTAAAAGTTACAAGCCTAATTGGTTTTTCTGGTCAAGCAATATTGTTCAAGCATCACCTCTGAGAGTTAATAATGAAGCTTTCTTCAATTCCTTACCATTTGAAATCCTCTTTTTTCAAACCAAGACCCATTCCAAAGCAAACCAATCTAAAAACAAATAAGATTGCATTTTTAAACTTTGGATGAAAAATTAAGTGGATCAATGACATATGTTCAGCTGTTAGGTTTAATTATGTATTATTATTTCTTACTTTACCTTGAATTAGACTTAATTTTTGGAATGGCCAAAGATCTTGATTATTGATTATTTTCTTTTCCAAGAGGGGGATTTTTGGGGAAAAAATTAATTCATACCCACCTGTGCAGTCATGCAAAAACACAAATACAAACTCCACAAATTCAGTGATGATAAATGTTTTGTATTAAAAGGGGCAAGGAAACAACACCAGTAAGGGGGAAGTTGTGCAGAGCATAAGCGAGTGAGCAAAATATAGGGTTATTTTTGGCAGATTTCAATTTGCAGTTGTAACTGAAGCAATATTTTTATCCATCATTTTTTATAGGTAAATATAAGAATTTTATTACTGAAAGAGGCGGAGAACCCCAAGATTACACAAAAGGACCCAATGAGAAAAAGGCACACCAGTGGGGATAACTTTGACTGTTGGGGCCCAACAGCCTATGCGGTTGAGAGCGCTTTTGAACTGAACACGTTCATCAACTCACACCCATGTCTAGGTTTTTGGTCAAAAGGAAATAGGGGCAATTACTATTTTACCCCACTCTCATGATAACATGGCATTCCCAAGAATGTACTCAATAGTAGGGGTGCTCACGGTTCGGTTACCGAACCGTGGGGTGATTTTCTAGACCGAACCAACCTGTTCGATTTTTAAATCTAACCGAACCGATGCAACCGGTTAACCACGGTTCGGTTTTTCGGTTTTTCTTTGCACTGAAAATTAAAAAAAGGGGGAAAAAACCTTCCCTCTTGTAGAAGAGACTGAGTGAGAGCCGATGGAGAGAGACCAAGAGATGAGAAATTGAGAGGAGACGCCAGACGGTCTAAGAGAGAGTGAAGGCTCTGAGTCTAAGAGTGAGAGTCAAAGAGATGACTGATGAGAGAATGAGAGCCAATGAACAGAATTGACTACTGAGAGAGATTAGAGGGAGAGGCACTCACTGAGAATGAGAGACACCGCCGGTCAGAGGCGATCGCCCATTGGTAGGTCTGGCCCGTTGGGGAAGAAGAAGAAGAGTCTGAGAGAGAGAACAGAGAGTGAGACAGGTCGCCTGGTCAGACGTTGGAGGGCGGAGCGCCAAAGGCCGTCGGTCCGTTGGGGAAGAAGAGAACTGAGACTCAGAGTTTGAGAGAGTGACGGAGAAAGCTCAAAGAAGGAAAGTAAGGGGAAACTGGAAAGGCGCGGCGGAGGTAGGAGGTCGATTATTACATTATTAGGGATTCGATTTTCAAAGAGACTGTCAAACTGAGAGACTGGTAGTGATGCAGCGTTCGGTTTTCAATTTATTAGGATTCGATTTGCGCCTTGCGCTTTTAAAACACTTTTTCGGTTTTTTTGCACACCCCTACTCAACGGCATAGGCTGTTGGCCCTAAAGTTTAAAATTTTTGAATATTATTAAAAAATTCTTCAATATTTCATTAAAATCATCATAATTTTTTAGAAATATTTCCTAAAAGAACCAGTAGGGAAGCGGAGATTGGATAATTGACTTGCTACATTGATATGATTCACTTACTAAGTCACTATAATTCAAAAAAGAAGAAAAGAAAAATGCATATAACTACAAAAGAGTATTCTCAATCTAATCAAAACATGTAACAATAAAGACATATAATGACAAGTAATTGACATATATAGAGATGAGACGATGGCTAAGGACCAAAAGGGAGACAAAGAGAAAAATATCTATTACAGTCTCTTAATTTTTCCTACCTGATTTAATCAGTTCTTTGCTATGGTTTTTTGATTCTTAATGTGCAATTATATTAAAATTCCATGTTTCTGGAAAACTTTCCTGATTTTTTAGATTTTCCAAATATCCTAGAGAAATTAGCTAAACATCTCCAAAATTTCTCCAGCTCTACATGGAAAAATGTTAATTGATATCAAAATCACAAACCATGGATCCTTCCATTGATACCATGCATATTTTTACATCTAAAAACCAAAAGGTCTATAAAAGACTGGCTCAATTTCTGAATCATGTTCGATTAAACTAAGAAGTCCACAAATTCGGAGAAAAAACTCTCCTTCACTTCATGCTAATATTTCAAATTTTAGTCCCCACCATGGCTTTCAGTGAGATGAAATTTGGCCACTTACAGTGTCACATCATCAAATAGCCAAATACCAACTAATGCCATAACTGCTTCAGGCTAATTTGTCTATAAGAGAAGAACAAGATATTCCAAGAGAATATCACTAGGACACAGGATACACAATTTAGTAGTGATTATTATACTATTTGCATAGTATCTATAAAAAAAATTATACTATTTGCATAGTTATTTTCGTTTTTTATTTTTTGATAAGCAATCAAAGAGAATTCTATTTTTTTAACATTAAAAAAAATCTGTCCTAGGCACAAAACATATAAAAAAACACCAGAAAATGGTGGAACTCCACTAATTTCAGAAACATAGGAGAAACATCTGAGAACTGCTTCAATGCTCTACTCCAACTCATCAGCAACCATTCAACTCTGGAGATGATAGCCTCCATGGGGGGCCTTGTCTTCAAATAGTCTGTTGCTACCTTTCCTTTCTAAATGGTCCAGTATATAACAAACAGCAGAAAATTCCAAATAGCAACTTTGCTTTGGGTGAGAAACTCTTTACCCACCAGCAGGCCAGCAACTTAGTTACAGAACAAGGAAAAAAGACCCACTTTCTATGGAATAAACAAAGGAAGTGGCACCAAATCAAAGAACAAAACGGACAATGAATGAGCAGATGGTTAGCTGATTCCAGCACCTCTCTGCGCAAATAACAGACATTCTCCAGTTGCATGCCCCTTCTCAATTCTCATCAAGGTGTCAATGGTCTGAATCTTTCACCACCCAGAACACAGAAAATTCTCTTCAAGGGGACTTATGCCTTCCAAATCCAAGCCCAAATGCTAACAGGATAGGAGCCATTCAAGACTCTGTAACAGGATTTTGTGGAGAACAAACCTGATTTCTCCAGCTTCCACATTCTTGAACCCCTCTCCTGAACATTTAAGTTAACTGCATTTAACCTTATTATGAGTTGCTCCAACAATCCCACCTCTCAGTCATTGACATTCTGTCTAAAGTTAGGCTCCTAATAATAGCCAAAATTCATCAAAATAATCCTAAATCATTCCAAAACCCAAAAACATCTATCATCCTTTAACACTGAAAAAGATACTAACCCTGTTACAGGTCTGTGGCTATATGCTATATTGGTAATTTAGAGACATAACAGCATTTTTTAAGATTTTAGCCAGTAACACTATGGTTAGTAACTAAACAACATGGTTGGAAAGGACGAAGTGAAGCAAGACTTCAGGCAGTATCAAAATTTTCTAAGAATTGGAATCACCTGGAAAAGGATGAATATGAATAGCACTGGAAAATTATTCATTACCTGTCTTATTTTCTCAATTCCTGTTGCAGCAATGAAATCAGGAAGTTGGAAAGGCTGCTTTTCAATACCACGCTTTCCCTGAAAAAAAAACCAAATACACAAATTACTCAAGAGAAACCAACAAACAAATAGAATCATGGTTCTAGCATTCAATGCTAAATAGGTCCACAAATAAGAATTTTAAAGCGCTGTTAACCGCCCATCTGCATTGTCAAAAAAAGAGAACATTTAGTCCAAGCATTATTGACAATGAAAACAACACATGTGGAATTGCATAGCAAAATCATTAATTCCCCATCCAATCAACAATCCTCCACTCTCTGGCATGCAGAACAGGCCATCTAACCTAGGCATGTTATTTTTCATACAGAAGTGGCATGATTCAATTAATCACACCCCCACCCACCCTTGAAAATATATCAAAAGAGAAACAAGAGTCCCCTTCGCCAAACACCAACAAGTCCTGTCTCCGTGATTGTTACAGCCAGTCCCCTGCAAGAACCACATATACATATAAGAGGAATGAAACCTTATCGACTTTATCTTCCCTCACCCTCTTCCACAACCTCCATGTACCGTGTCTTCTTATCAAGCATACAAGCATGCATTACCCCAAATTCCATTCATGTCAATACAGAGACACACCTGCAAGAACTTCCTTTTTTGGCACCAATGCCTTGGCACAGGTACAGTATTCCGGTACGATTTCAAATACACAAGCAACTTCGGATCAGCTGCTGTCGCATCCCATACCTTAGAAATGACAACACTGTTAATGCAAGATCAAACAACGAGGCTGTAGCCATCAAATAGAAAATACAATCAAATATGAAAAAAATGCTAGACACCCTGGAACCAGTTAACTGAGTAAAGAACTTAAGTGGATCAGCAGACAACCTATTACCTATATTTGCATAATCATATAGTAACATAAAAAATGTCAAAATTCAACAAAAGTGTGTAGTATTTTAATAGGTTATACTAGTTTATAGATGTGCTCACAAGCCCTTTTTTCGTCTTTCCATGTCAAACACCCAAATGTGTCTCAGATTCTGATTCTTGTATCCATGTCAATTGTCCATGCAACATTTTGGTGTAATACAATAACACCTTTGATAGATTAAAAGCAATGTTTTAAAATGCGGAGGCGTGACGCGAGGCGTTCCACTACCTAGAAGCGTGAGGCGTAGTTCAGAACGCAAGAGGTGTAAGCCTCCCGAACACAAGGAGGCGTAAGCCTCCTTAAGAGGAGGGGGGTTAGGAGGAGGATGAAGAGGAAGGGAGGATCTCATTTTTTTCTTTATTTTTAATAAAAATCTTTTATATTAAGAAGAATAAAGATGCATAACATTAGTTGAAAGGGGGGGTCTAGAGGACGAAGCCCCCCAACCGAAGGGGCAGGGGACAAATCACTTTCTTTCCCCTTATCTTTTCTTCCCTTCCCTTTCCTTTTCTCTTTTTTCTTCTCTTTCTTTTTCTTTCCCTTCCCTTTCTTTTCCTTTCCCTTCCTTTCCTTTTTTTTCTTTTTTCATTTTTTTGTCATTTTTAAGATGTGCATGAGGCACATGAGGCGTACGCCTCTAGCAGGCCTCATGAAAAAAACGCAAGAGGCGTACGCCTCAGAGGTGTCAGCGCCTTTGGCATACGCCTCAGGGCGTTTTGGAAGCGCCTCACCTGGAGGCGTGCCTCCAGGCATACGCCTCCCACGCCTTTTAAAACACTGATTAAAAGACAGCAGTTTTTTTATCAATAACAATTATGTTGTATCCATTAAGAGAAAAGCTTCCTACTACCCAAAAGTAAGAATACTCTCTATGGACATCTTTTTAAGCAATGAAGAGGTTAACTAGGCTATAGTTGGTGAAACAAGGGACCCTTTGGCTTGGTTGGTTAAGTGTGACGGTTTCCAAGAGAATCTCTTTTATCTGGGCCCTACTATCCTTGAAATGATATTCTCAAAACCTACAATAATTTTATTCCTTACATTATATTTGGGATTAGAAATGGTAATAACACCAAATTATGGTGTGACTTGTGGTTAGGGAGGAATTCATGGAGAATCTCCTTTCCAAGAATCTACCACATCTTCCTCTTCAAAGAGCTTGTAATCTCCTGAAATTCTTTCCAGGGGGAGCTGTGGAATCTTAGTTTGGACTTTTCTCCTAAAGGTCCATTGACATTGATAGAGAGAGCCTATTTCGTTAAGAACAAAGTCCATTTTCAGTTGCTAAAAAAAGGTTTTTCTTGTTATCCTTTTACTCCCTTGATGTTTCTTGAGATTCTGCCTTTAAGAGAGATCTTGGAGATTTTGAGTGTAATGAAGCTTTTAATCTTGTTGAGTTGCTTAAACATAACTTTGTCCAACCCTCAGGTCTTGATTCTAGGGTATAGATTGATCATTTTGGTGTTTTATCTTGTTCTATTGATCCCGCTAGGATCAAAGCCTTTTTATAGGAAACTGCTTTGAAAATAATAGACATTGGTGACATACTCCAATCATAATATTGGTTCATCTCTCTATATTTGTGCATCCTCTGCTTGGGTGTGGTGAGAATGCTCTTTTTGGAGCTTTATGGAACTGCATACAGGCTTAATGGAGCTTTTGGACTTAGATTGTTCCCCAAATTACAACATGAAAAAGTATATGGAAGTGCACAAGAGGTGAAGTCTTCTAGCCTGTTTGGAAATAAAAAAGAAATGCAAGAACCTTGAAAACAAGGAATAAGAGGTTTATAATTTGATTGACTCTGGTGACAAAAGTGGCCCATTAGATTTCAACAAGAGGGGAAATATCACCAGCAGATAAACTATTTGCTTGTTGGCCTAAAATGAGAGGAAATATCACGGCAAAAATAGTTTGAAGTTGCATTCCTTTTGGCATTTGTTGGGAGATTGGGAATGAAAGAAATAGAAGACTTTTTGAAGATAAGGCATGAAGAAGGGATCAAATCACTCTTTTATGTGGGAAAAGGTAATGGATTGGGTTCTTATCAAGGTTTTAGAAAACGACCCGGAAATGGAACCGTTCTGGCCACCGGTTTCCGGGTCAATGGTTCGAATGGACGGCCCATTCTGACAACAAACATTAAAGAATAAAAAAAAATTAAAAATAAAAACGGCCAAAACCATTGAACGGGTCAACGGTTCGACCGCCCGGGTCAATAGGTCGTTGACCGGTTCAATGGTTTTTGGGCAAGGACCGGATTTGGGGTAAAACGGAACAAGTTGCCTAGACGGTTCCCGGGCCAAACAGTCCGACCGTCCATGTCAACAGCGGTTCGAAAACCATGGTTCTTATGCTCCCTGAATTTGAAGGAGTCTCAAAGGAGGATCTTAGAGCAAATTTTTGGTCTCTACTTGGTTTAGAGTCAAGCAGTTATTTCTTATTTTTGTTTTTACTTTGTTTGATGTAGTACCATCTTGGTTCTAATGTAAGCCTTTGGTTGTGATTTCTCGTTACCTTTACAGTTGTACTTCTTCTTTCTATTAATAAAATGTTCTTTTTTTTTATTTATTACCAAACAAAAAAAATTTCAACAAGAGAGGAATTTAAAGCACATACAAACTCCATTATTGGGGGATGGCAAGCTGTAGATAGTTTTGCAACAGGGAAAGATAACGGACCCAAGCATGGACCCATCCACAGAAGAAAACATAAGGATTAGATTTAGTGGATGCTGAGTTGACAATCAAAGTCCATCTGAGGTGGGAGAAGTGTTCATGAATAGGTAGGGTAACATATTGCCAAGCAACTCAAAACCAGTAGAAGAAATTCTTTGAGAGCCAAACTTCTCTCTTTGTTACAGGGCCTTAAACTGGCATCCTCTTCAATCTGGAACTACTTATTAGTTGAATGCCAAGTGGTTTTATAGTGGATGTCAGCTGTTGTTTTGTCCTTGGATCAACCAACCTGGTCAATTCACTTGCAAGGAAAGGTAGAAAGATCCAAATCAGTTTGGAGACACCAGGCCCAAGGTTTTAGCCACATGACTGAGTTTATCTTGCTTTTCTATTTTCCCAGATTATTTAGGATGGTCAGCTGCTCATCTACATGTTGTGCATCATATCCATACTTGATACATTCTTAAACGCAAGATACTCTTACTTTTTATTTCTAAATCATTCGTGACCCTCTTTGATCATGGTTACTGATAAAAAAAGTTTTCCTTAGATTTAAAAATCCGGTTTACCATTACACCAAGTAACGGCCCCTAAGATACAGACAGATACAATTCTCCTAATGGTTACTACTGACACACTATAACTTAGACGGAACAGACAGAAGACAATTATGAGCTTCCATAAATGACAACTGAGGCAGTAAAAAAAAATAACAAGGCATGCAGGGATATATTAGTCACCCATACCTCAACAACATCAGGCCTTGAGCATATCTGTTTCAATTCAGCAATATTCATTCGTCGTTGGAGCTACAGGAAGATAGCTTAAATTATTAAGTCCTAACAACAAGGCGGAAGAGAAATGAAGCATAGGGGTGCCAGTTAGTCAAACCTTTTTCTTTTTATTTGACAGTCCCTTTTCCTTCTGCTTGGCATCCTGCTCTTCCTCTTCTGAATCTGAATCCACCTTCTTATTTGAGGCTGCATTAGCAGCTGTTTCATTATTTTTATCACTTTCCTGAATAGAAGTAAAAGATGCCTTTATGTAGGAAAAATAAAAAAAAGGGAAAAATAGCATGAAAACGTTATAAATTTCAGAATTAATTAATTTTTCTACAATCGCATACACACCTCTGTCGTAATAGCAGCATCACCGAAGCTGAACTTCTCGAAAACCTTTTTAAAATCTTCAAGTAAGTCGTCCTCTAACTCAGCCTTTTCGCGGACGTACTCTACTTCAACTTGCTCGACAGCCTATAATTATCACCATTTGAAGAGACAATGTATTTGTGAGAAGATATATGATGCCGAGAAGGCAAAATACGATAACTGGACTACAACCCCAAACAGCCAATAAACCATCCAACAAAGTTGAATGGAAAAGACTTAATGATATCATAATCCTAAATTTAACAGAACAATGAGTTGGATTTCAGTCCGTAATTGTATACCAGATCTCAAACCTAATCTACTGCAGACCAGTTTACACGAATTCACAGAAGCTTCTTCAATCTATCATTGTACTCAGTAACCAAAACTCTGAAGTCTCTAAGTGACGACAAAGGTTAGCTTAAGTAAGAAAATGACTGATTCCAAAATAACAAAAAAAATAAAAACAAAAAAAAAACCTTCTGTGGATCGGCGTTTTCCTTGGCTTCATCTTCGGCGCCTTCGCTATCGTCGGCCACAACATCGGTGGTCGCTTGAGATGGTGCTTTGTTGTTCTTCTTCTGCTTTCGTCTCCGCCGGCGCCGCTCGCTCTCTCGCGATTTTTTGTTGTCAGAGTTCTTCTGTTGCAAATCCCCATTAGCGAGTCCATTTCCGTTCGCGAGCTCCACCGTCATCCTCGCCCTTTCAGCTCCGAATTTACGAGAAATCTCTCAAACGTTCGAGGGGAGGCTTTCCCGCGTAGACGCCTAGTTGGGGACGGAAATGACAGAACGAACTTATCCCCGCACCCGCTCCTCTTCGATTTCAATGGCAAATGCCAATGCAGAGCAACTGCGCACCGTCAACAGAACAGACTGAACATCAGGATTTGCTGGGAGACCGCAAGGAAGGTCTAGCAACTGATCATGAGTGCTGCATTCGCAAGATTTGATCGATCCCATCAAATCGAGTCCGGCCTTACAAAGCACACCTCACGAGGACCCCATAGGCCCGTCCCACCATATATTGGGAACATCTTCCGTCGTTTGTGTTGTTATTCATGGGAGATCTTCTCAATACACGGTGGGATGGGGTTTGAAGTCTGTATAAGATGCGCTCTGTGGAATTCGGCTTCGGTCGAGTTCATATCTCCGCCTCACAACGCTCCACAGCACATCCCGCCGTGTATTGAGAGCATCTCTCGATGATAATATCATCGGTATCGGGAGATGTGCCCAATACACGACGAGGATGTGCTATAGGGCATTGTGGGGCGGGACGTTATGGGGGCGGAGATGTGGTCTCGCTTCCGTCAGGGTAAAACCCATTGGAGCAGCCCTTACAGTTTTGTATCGAGAATATATCCTTGTTTATGTGTTTTATTTCATGTTGTCAATGCAAAATTGCAAAAAGCGATTGAAATAGTTTAGGTACGGCTTCATTAGGGTTGTTCATAAGAAGGTCCAATCCGATCAAACCGATCAATTCAGACCGACTCAACTTGAGTTGGTTGGGTTTTCATAAGCACCGGTCGGTTTCGGGTTGTACAAATTCATAAACCGACTCGAACCGAACCAACTTAGTTCCTACTTAATTAAGTTGCCTCTATCCTAATTCCTAATTACAACCTAACCTAGTCTTCTAGTTCCTATTTAACTAAGTTGTCTCTATTTTAGTTTTTATAGTCTTTTACACCAAATAGGCAACCAATTAGGCAACTACAATTATAATTAGGTGTCATTTTTTACTTAGATTAGAACTTAAAAAGTTTCTTGAAATATACAAATTTCATCCTTCTTTCTATAAAACAGTTTGACTTTTTATTTTCTTGATAACTTTTGTCTTCTATTTTAATTCTAACTTTTTAAATATATTTTTAGAAAATATCTTAAAAACTTCAGTTTTCAGAATAGATATTTTCTTCTAGACTTCTATGTCCTTTTTGTACATGAGCAAAACCGAAACCGACCCAAACCGACCAGGTCGGTTTTGCTTAACACTGGGTCGGTTTCGGTTTCCATCTCAGGTAACCCGACCAGGTCAGGTCGGTTGGGAAAACCCCAGTAAACCGACCCAACCCGACCCGTGGACAACCCTAGGCTTCATCAGGGCAAATCCGCACCCGCCCACACCATTCCAACAGACTATTGCAACTTTGCATTGCGAATATCTCTCCATAATATAAAATATACAAGTACGAAGATATATTCAATGTAAGGCAGAAAAGATTGTTCGAATGGGCTTTGCCCTGACCGAAGCCAAACTCGTAGGCATGGGTTTATCCCAATGGAAGCCGATCTCTACTCTATGAGGAGTATATCCTGATTTCATTAAGTATATGTTTGGCATCGACGGTGTAGATACAGCACCATTTGCTGATGTATGGGTTGGAGGCATCATTTTCTGATAAAACGGTGTCTTTTTTTTTGTTTGGAAAACGTTGTTGTCAAGTACGACGTTTCCTGGAGCAACAACAACACTTTATGTTTGGTACCAATTCTCCATATCTGTTTTCAGCACTAGTACCCATTATAGGAAGTCCACATCACGTCCTCTTTGGTAGCAATGAGCTCCAATCTAGGAAAACGTCAAATTCGGCGTTGCTCCAAACCATGCCTTCTCAATTTCCAAGGCATGACTTGGAGCACCATTTTTTATGGAAAAGCGGTTCCAAACATATTGGCATTTTCTGGAGCATCATTTTTTCGATGTGGTGCTGATGTGTCACTATTTTCTGGAGCAATGGCATCGATGCCAAATAGATGCCAAATCAACTGGTTAAGAACTGGCAACCTGGAAGATGGTTTTTAACTTTTTATTTTTACTTTTTTATTTGTGAAAATTCTATATTAGGGTCCCTAAACTTTAAAATGTGTACCTAAACTTTCAAAATACATCATTTTACTGCAAAACCATTAACAGTTGTTGTACGGCATATGAAAGAACACAAATACCCTTCAAGCGTCATATATTTTTCATTGAACTAGTTTTCCTCCTTTCTCCTACCACTTCAACAATTATCGATAAATCTAATTCCATCAACCATATCCACCATCCCCACATGGTCGGAAAACGCACATAACGTTTTCCTCTCACCATTACAGCCAAGGATTTTTTCTTCCTCATTTGTTGATAATAAACCAGTTTATTTTCTCACGTTCCTTGGTGAAATTTAATCTCCACCTCAATAAATTGTTCTTCAACAAGTTATTTCCTCAAGTTATGGAGCCAGGTTATTTTCCTCATGTGTAGATAATGGATCCAGGTTCTCAAGTTATGCAATTTGGTGATAATGGACTCAGATTATTTTCTTATGTTCCTTGGTGAAATTTAATCTCCACCTCAATAAATTCAACAGGTAAATCTAGGGATATTCTCTCACTTTCCTTGGTGAAATTCAAACGTCTGATCAGAATAAGCTTTGAATTTTTCTTCCTCATTTGCTATTGGTGGAGGATTAATAAAGAGGCTTTGATCCTGTAGTTTGTCATTCAAAACCAAAAACTTAAGAAAATAACCTTGGTCAATCCCATTTTCCTCATCGGATAGCTTGGCTTGGTTCACAGCCAATTTGGGGCCAAAGTCGGTGAATTGTGTAACTTCGGAGAAGCTCAATCTGTCGAGAGACGTGGCACTACAAAAGCCAAGAGACATTTGGTGAGGCAAAGGATTGTTCAGCATGTAATCCACCATTCTTGTATTAGTGTCACTGGAGTTCTGATCACCAAACCGTTGCTTCAATTACTGTGTGATAGTAATCTAGAGGGTAATCTAAACCTGTGAAGCCCGTCGGTAGACAGGCAACAATTGAGGTTTCAAGAGACACATGGCCACGAATAATCATAAGAGAAAAATGCGAGATGACTGAGAGTTAGGCTACCGAGTAGCTTTCTTCCTTGTCCATTATTTTATATATAGAAGTGAGATGAGATGACAAGATCGAACTAGGAAAACCAAAGTGAAGTCAATCTCAACCCATCTAAGAACAGAAACTTTCCTCCAAATTACCCAACCTGGGTCCCCACAAGAGAGAAGGTGACAAAAGAGTCAACTTACAGCCAGTAAGTTGACATGTTTCGAATTAGACAACTTAGAAGGATTAGATTTTCTTCAGCTGAAGCAATGAATATTGAACATCTGACGGTGAAAACTAAGTAGCTAGAAGGCTGAAATGGCTTCTCCTCCGTTGTTTGAGAAGAAAAACAACAAAGAAAATTAAATGGGTTTTGCTTTTGAAGAAGGTGAAGTACTTGCAAAAGCATGGCCATTGCTATGCATGTTCAAAATTCAGATTTGAACTGAGGATATGGCAAAATTGTCACTTTAGAGAGAGAGAGAGAGAGCAGCCTATTGAATTTATTGTTAAACAGTGTATGCCCTTAGCTCCAATCAGTTCGATGTACATTATGACATTTATTGTAAATGAATAAAGTACATATTTGATTCATGTTATAGTGGTGTGTTTTTGTGTAATACCCTTAAACTAGACACTTATAAGACTCGTGTTAGTTTAGAATGTTCATAGCCGTTGGATAAGTTTGGGGAGATTTATCCTGCTAAGGCTGACATTGATGTGCCGCCAAGTGTTGGGGTGGCCTGTCTTAGCTGCTAGGGTGAGACCCAAGGTACATGTAGTGTAGGTTTACTTGAAACCCTGAATTGGACCAGATTTCCAATATTGCCTTGGACCTTGGTGATTAGTGGGCAAAACTGGAAAGTTACACCTGACCCCTAGACTCGATTATGATACTGCACTAGGTATCGGATTGGGTTGTCTTT